CTGGGTATTAAATAAAGTAACTAAGTACATAGTTATGATGAGCAAGAGTGCCTCTTCCGAAATTGTGAAATTCATGGCCCCAGGGTCAGGGGTTCTGGCCCCAGGGTGGGACTATATAGATCATATAGTGAAAGTGCATTAATTCTTTGAAAATCTTCTTCTCTGCTCCTGGGTATTAAATAAAGTAACTAAGTACATAGTTATGAAGAGCAAGAGTGCCTCTTCCAAAATTGTGAAATTCATGGCCCCAGGGTCAGTGGTTCTGGTGTAAGGGTGGGGCTCTTTTGATCATATAGTGAAATTGCATTAATTCTTTGAAAATCTTCTTCTCTGCTCCTGGGTATTAAATAAAGTAACTAAGTACATAGTTATGAATAGCAAGAGTGCCTCTTCCAAAAGTGTGAAATTCATGGCCCCAGGGTCAGGGGTTCTGGTGTAAGGGCAGGGCTCTATTGATTATATAATGAAAATGCATTAATTCTTTGAAAATCTTCTTCTCTGCTCCTGGGTATTAAATAAAGTAACTAAGTACATAGTTATGAAGAGCAAGAGTGCCTCTTCCAAAATTTGAAATTCATGGCCCCAGGGTCAGGGGTTCTGGTGTAAGGGTGGGGCTCTATTGATTATGTAGTGAAAATGCATTAATTCTTTGAAAATCTTCTTCTCTGCTCCTTGGTATTGAATAAAGTAACTAGGTACATAGTTATGATGAGCAAGAGTGCTTCTTCAAAAATTGTGAAATTCATGGCCCCTGGGTCAGGGGTTCTAGTGTTAGGGTGGGGCTCTATTGATTATCTAGTGAAAATGCATTAATTCTTTGAAAATCTTCTTCTCTGCTCCTGGGTATTAAATAAAGTAACTAAGTACATAGTTATGAGGAGCAAAAGTGCCTTTTGGAAAATTGTGAATTTCATGGCCCCAGGGTCAGGGGTTCTGGTGTTAGGGCGGGGCTCTATTGATTATATAGTGAAAATGCATTAATTCTTTGAAAATCTTCTTCTCTGCTCCTGGGTATTAAATAAAGTAACTAAGTACATAGTTATGATGAGCAGGAGTATCTCTTCTAAAATTGTGAATTTCATGGCCCCATGGTCAGGGGTTCTGGTGTTATGGCGGGGCTCTATCGACTATATAGTGAAAATGCATTAATTCTTTGAAAATCTTCTTCTCTGCTCCTGGGCATTAAGGTGATAAACTAAGTACATAGTTATGAAGAGCAAGAGTGCCTCTTCCAAAATTTGAAATTCATGGCCCCAGGGTCAGGGGTTCTGGTGTAAGGGTGGGGCTCTATTGATTATGTAGTGAAAATGCATTAATTCTTTGAAAATCTTCTTCTCTGCTCCTCGGTATTGAATAAAGTAACTAAGTACATAGTTATGATGAGCAAGAGTGCTTCTACAAAAATTGTGAAATTCATGGCCCCTGGGTCAGGGGTTCTAGTGTTAGGGTGGGGCTCTATTGATTAACTAGTGAAAATGCATTAATTCTTTGAAAATCTTCTTCTCTGCTCCTGGGTATTAAATAAAGTAACTAAGTACATAGTTATGAGGAGCAAAAGTGCCTTTTGGAAAATTGTGAATTTCATGGCCCCATGGTCAGGGGTTCTGGTGTTAGGGCGGGGCTCTATTGATTATATAGTGAAAATGCATTAATTCTTTGATAATCTTCTTCTCTGCTCCTGGGTATTAAATAAAGTAACTAAGTACATAGTTATGATGAGCAGGAGTATCTCTTCTAAAATTGTGAATTTCATGGCCCCATGGTCAGGGGTTCTGGTGTTAGGGCGGGGCTCTATCGACTATATAGTGAAAATGCATTAATTCTTTGAAAATCTTCTTCTCTGCTCCTGGGCATTAAGGTGATAAACTAAGTACATAGTTATGATGAGGAGGTAGGCCTCTTCCAGAATTATGAAAGCCATGGCCCCTGGGTGAGGGGTTCTGATGTTAGGGCGGGGCTCTATTGATTATATAGTGAAAATGCATTAATTCTTTGAAAGTCTTCTTCTCTGCTCCAGGGTATTATTTAAACAAACTAAGTACATGGTTATGATGCATAAGGATGCCTTTTCAAAAATTGTGAATTTCATGGCCCCAGGGTCAGCGGTTCTGGTGTTAGGGCGGGGCTCTATTGATTATATAGTGAAAATGCATTGATTCTTTGAAAATCGTCTTCTCTGCTACTGGAGATTATTTAAACAAACTAAGTGCATGATTATGATGGGCAAGGATGCCTCTTCCAAAATTTTTAAATATATGGCCTCAGTTTTTGGGGTTCTTGAGGAAGGGGGGGGGGGCTCTATTGATTATATAGTGAAAAAGCATTAATTCTATTAATTAATCATTAATTAATCCTGTCTGCTCCTTAGCGTTGAGCTGATAAATAAATTGCTTAGCTATGATGAAAATGTGAGCTTCGAACAGAATTTTTAAATCTCGTGGTCCTAGGGTCAGGGGTTCTGGCATAACTGGGGGGGGGGGGGGTTTGATAATATAGTGCAAAAGTGTTAATTCTTTGAAGTCCATAGGTATGATGATGAGGGTAACTCTTCCAAATTTGTAAATTTCTTGACCCTTGGTCTTTGGTTCTGGTGTTAGGGTAAGGCTTTGTTGAAGCATTGTACCTGTGAAATTCTTCTCTGCTTCTGGGCATATAGGAAGAAAACTGAGTAAAAGTTTAAATGATATAAGTAAGCGTATTTCTACCAGATTTTTGAACATCTGGACCATTTGTCTAAGCATTCTAGTCCTGGGCAGGGCTCTATTAATTTGTATTCTACTGAGAGAAGTTATTCCCCTTTTCCATTCACCTTTAATCACTGTAAATAATGTATTTGAAAGGTTAATAGAATAAGATAATTATGCAAGAATGTTTATCATATAATTCAAAAAGTATTTTCTTAGTTTTAATAATCAGGTTGACCTGTAAGTAATAGATAAATAAAAATGAGACAAAAATAACTTATCTTATTAAAAGTTCTTCAAAGACCATAAGAGAGGTCAATGCTAGAGCTCTTAATATGGGATTAAAAATAGTACTGAAGCACTAATAGTTTGTTAATAGTCTGCATGGTGATAGTGTTAAGTGGGGGACAGATTAGAACTTAATTTATGAGTTGATACTGAATACTAGACTAATTATTTTGTTGATCCTGATCTTCCTACTTCTCTTGCTTTAGGGCAACAAAGCTTCATCTGTCAGTGTATTTAACTTCTAAATTGTTGTATTATACTCAGGTGACCGTTAAGGCCCTTGGGCCTCTTGTTGTATTCATATGAAGCAGAATTTAATCAAAAACTTCTACATGAGAAGAAAAAAACACTTGTTGTGGCCTTCAACTCGACATTTTGATATATCGATGACGTATTATCAATTAACGATCACCGTTCACCTTCCTCAGTCGGTAGAGCGCTCGCTCCGTGATCGGGAGGTCGTGAGTTCGAATCTTCTCCGCGACTGACCTAAGTCGACAAAAAATGGGTAGCAGCTGTTCCTTTGCCACGCGCTCGGCACTTTGAAGTGAAAGTTGCGGGTTCTTCGGATGAGACCTTAAAAACCGAGGCCCCGTGTCACGGCAGACGTTGGTACGATAAAGATCCCTCACTGCTCAATGGCCCTGAGTGCCGAGTAAAGGTCAAAATTTGAAGCCCTTCACCGGTATATGGTGACGTCTCTATATGAGTGAAAATTCTCGAATGAGACGTAAAACGACATACAATCAATCAATTAATTAACAATAGTTAATTTCATTCTTATGTCGACTCGATATATCCCAGTGAGCTTGAAATAAAAGATACCACAGATTCTGATACATCTGTTTCATATTTAGATATTTTACTACAAAAAGACGTTAATGGTAACCTAACAACAAAGCTTTATGTTAAACATAATGACTTCAACTTTTCAATCGTCAGCTTCCCTTACTTATGTAGCAATATACCCTTGTCACCTGCATATGGGGTTTATGTCTCTCAGTTGATTCGATACGCAAGAGCATGCTCTACGTATGAACGGCGGGTGTGAGCGGTCGGCAGGGGATGCTCACTCTTCCATGGCACCTGATCCCACCTCTAAATATTGAGGTCCGTGTTTGCTCTGCTCCAAATTCATATCGTTTCATTGCACTTTCGAGATTGAATACTGTTTGTTATCTTCATATTTCATTGAGTTGATTTCTATCTTCAATGTCAAGACAGGGCTTTCCATCCTACAACCATTGTAATCGCAACTTCACTACCATCAAAACCGCTTTTAATACAGTAGGCAATCAAATCTTCACTTCCACCCAAAACTAGAAAAAAACCAATTGCTCGAATTTAGTCTGCTAGCTTGTCAACTTTACGGAGGTGTTCGTCTCAAACGCGCACGTGAGCGTTGCATGCCTATTTTTTTTAGCATGTTCACTCCCACCCAGTGTAGCCAGAGTATATCAAGACTTTCTAGCAAAAAATCACATTAACCTACTCGACTGTGTCCGTACATTTCACCTTTGTTTCCAGTTGAACATTTGCGGGACTAACTGGATCGAAAAGTAAAAAGGCGTCAGAATATTCCAGCCAGTAACAGATTACTTTTTAGGGTCCTGTTTGTTTAGAAAGACTCATGTAGTACATGACATATTCTTAAATTTCTCATGCCTTTGATCAGTTTTAATTAAGTTTGAGGGTTCATAACTGTCTGAAAATCCCTGATTTCCAATAAAAATTTAAGGGGCAACCACCGCCACGCCTTTCCCAGCTTTGAATTTGTCTGTTACCCTCTTTCGAAAATTTAAATATTCTAATGCAATGATTAATAAAAGCAAAGCCGCGAAGGTTGGAAATTAACGAGTTTTGTCAACACATGGACAATCAATCCTGGTTTTGATGATAACATTTTAACTGTAGTTTAAACCACTGCCATAAAGTGACTGGACCTTTTAAAAAGAAAAGTTGTTGAGTATTGACTAAGAATATGCATTTTTATCTCTTTACAGATTGATGCCACATTTTTTTTTAATGATGTCTGCGAGTTCCCCTTACTCATCCACATATGAGACAACAAACGCTAACAGAGCCTGTCGACTTCTTCTGGGTCCCTGCACGGACGAACTCCGAGATGTGTTGCGTCATCATGTCCCACCGCCATCATTGACGCAAATCCTGAAGATGAATAAACAAAGTCTGCCTCGTCTGACAGCAGCTCAGAAAGGTCTGAATTCACATGGACATGGAAATTATACTGGGAATTACAATGATATGGATATCACCCAATTGTACACTTTGTTAAGAAACATTTGTAATATACCACCACACTCCAATGGCTGGGGAAATGATCCAGATCCGAATGACAGATCTCTCTCTGCAAATATTGACCGAATTCGATCGGCCCGGAATCAGTGTGTTCACTCTTCCAGCCCTTCCTTGTCCAATGCTGACTTCACTTCTATCTGGTCCACCATCAGATCAGCAGTTGTGGATATGGACACCTTCCTCAATAATGGTAAAAAGTACGAGAAAGAAGTGGATTTTCTCCGACATGAAACAATGGATCCAGCAGGTGAAAAATATTACAGAGAACAACTGAGGAAACAAGTTGAAGAAGATCACCAAAAGGAGAAGGAAAACAGTAAAAGGATTGATGAATTGATAAGTAAGCTTAATGCTGTACTCAGATTACCTATTAGCTCACCCGAACCAAATTCATTTTGAAATTGACCTTTCTGAACAAAATTTGTCCCTTCTCTTAATGTTGTTGATGTTGAGGTCAGCATCTCACATTTTCATACCGTTTTGACTTACTTTTCTAGAAACAATGGGTTGGTTTTATCTGTTAAAGAAAAATGGATGATCTATTATACAAGAATGCAAAAAAAATTCTATGTAACCTTTTTTAAACTTGTATTTAAATTCCTCATAATCTGTTGTCTGAACATGTGTGTTTCAACGTTTCATCCGTTTTCTACTTAAGCACTAGTCCATGGCCAATTTTATCCAAACTTGATACAAAACATCCTTTGGAAAGGGGATGAAATATATGGAGATAACGAACAGTATTCAAGCTCAAAAGTCCATTAAACAATACAAAATAGGAGCAGAGCAAACACGGACCTCCAAAACATCAGAGGTGGGATCAGGTGCCATGGAGGAGTGAGCATCCTCTGCCGACCGGTCGCACCCGCGTGTGCTCCTTGTCATGATCGGGAAATAACGGAAAAATCCGTCGACAATTCAGTGTGTATATAATGGCCTTACAATTAGTATGAAAAACGTCAGTCAGCATTTGACTCAATGATAAATTGTATTTGCTGACAAGGACATTGTATCGACCATAGAACTTACTAAATGATGACTTTAAACGAGACTGCTGATATTCTTGTTTCATCAACTTGTTTGTCAATAATTTACCTCGTTTTAGAAATTATACATACGTTGAGCATGCTCTTGCGTATCGAATCAACTGAGAGATATAAACCCCGTATGCAGGTGATGAAGGTATATTGCTGCATAAGTAAGGGAAGATGACGATTGAAAAGTTAAAGTCATCACGTTTATCATAAAGCTTGGTTGTTAGTTTACTACTAGCGTCTTTTTCTAGTAAAATATCCAAATATGAAACAGATGTGTCAAACTCTGTGGTATCTTTTATTTCAAGCTCACTAGCTAGGATATATCGTATTGACATAAGAATGGAAATAACCATTGTAAATTGACAATACTTCATCGATATGTAAATGTGGAGGTGAAGGCCACAACAAGTGTTCATCCCATTCATGACCGGACCATTTCTTTGAAAAAAAAAATGAAGCAATTGATATTCATACTTAACACAGAGGTTACACAAGTGGATTGTGGTTATCAGATTTTATATCATAATCACTTGAACTAAGTTTATTTCCACATAGGCAACATAGTAGGTACTTAGAATGTATAATGCTTTTGCAAACAAAATTTTTGTAAAGCAGGGATTGTAAAAGCTTATCATTGACAGAAATCTTGATTATGATCTAAATAAATCCAATGACCCCAAAAAATATCATTTTGCTGACTCAAGACCACACAGACTATAATATAGCAAAGTTCTTGTCATTAACAAACACGTAAAAAAGCAAACATGCAAAGAAGAATTATGGAAATACTAGATACAAAAAGTAATGGCCAGCGGATATCAAAACTATATGTAAAAACATCTGAAAAACACTGAGTTAATGGGGTTTGGCAATGTGAACTTTCTGTGAAAGTCTATAGAGATTGGGTTTAGTAGAGTGTTAATCATAACCTCTTTCAGAACAGCTCTACTTTGATTCCTTTTTCTTTTCAGCAATAATGATATCTTCCGTTCCCAAGAATTTGAAAGGTAAGTAGGAGTCAAACAATGAAAAAAGTGAAGATAACGAACAGTGATCGATCTCAAAAAGAAGCTCTAAACACTGCACACAGATGAGTTCAGATTTCAAGGTATTTTTATACAGTGATCTGTCCTTTGAAGCAAGATAATATAAACAAAAATCTACAGCAAATGACACAATCTGAAGTAGATTAAGGTATTCTTTACATTACACTACACACTACACAGAGCTGAAGTCCCGAGTATATTATTTGCATGAAATATGAAGATAACGAATAGCATTCAATCTCCTAGTCCGTTTAAACAATACAAATCTGGAGCAGAGCGAACACAGGCTCCAAAAACTTCAGAGGCGGGATAAGGTGCCATGGAGGAGTAAGCATCCCCTGTCGACAGGTCACACCTGCCATGTGCTTCTTGTCATGATCAGGTAGACTAAAAAATCCGTAGAAAATTCGGTGTGTAAATAATGGCCTAACAATAAGTATGAAAAACGTCAGTGAGCATTTGACCTAATGATGATTGATTATATTTGCTGATAAGGTCATTGTATCGACCATAGAACTGATGACTTCAAACGAGACTTTTGATATCCTTGTTTCATCAACTTGTTGGTAAATATCTTGCCTCGTTTTAAAAAATTGATCGTACGTAGAACATGCTCTTGCGTATCGAATCAACTCAGAGACATAATTAAACCCCATATGCAGGAGATAAGGGTATATTGCTACATGTATATAAGTAAGGGAAGATGAAGATAGAGAAGTTTAAGTCATCACGTTTATCATAAAGTTTTGTTGTTAGGTTACCATTAACGTCTTTTTCCAGTAAATCATCCAAAAATTAATCAGATGTGTCATGTGTCACACTATGTGGTTTCATATGAAATATTGTTAATTGATGATATGTCGTCGATATATCTAAATGTCGAGTTAAAGGCCACAACAAGCGTTTTTTTCCTTCTCAATTAGAAGTTTTTGAATAAATTCTGCATCTTATGAATACAAACATAGGTCTGCTAATAACGGGGCACAGTTGGTATCAAATTAAAATAAACAATGGTGATTTACATTCAGTAATACTTCATTGTCTTTCAGTATTTTTCCTGGGTAAGTATGGCATGCACCATATGTTGAAAATGATCTAGATAAGCACATATTATATGAAACAATTTATTCAAAGTCCAGAAACCTTTTTTTCATTTGCATTTAGAGCTTCCTTGACTCGCGCATTACAGAATTAAATGTTGATAGCACAACAAAAAAATTCAAGCCTTTCTTTAATGGTGTTTACATAAACAGAGTAATATCTTTTTAGTGAATGATCATCGTGTATGAATTATAGTCATATGCGTAATCACTGAATTGCATACTGAGCATAACTCACCTTTACTTATATACTTTCAAGTGTTTGAAGAATTTTAGACTTCAGCTTTAGCAAAATCTAGTACATGTACTTTGATAGTCCTGAACGTGTTTCTTTCAGATTGACATAACATTGGTTGTCAATTTACAAAAAAAAGACCTAATTCATTAAGTTTCCTTTCAGAGAAATATAATATGGAAATAAAAAATTGGAAATGTGCAGACAACCTTTATCATGAAACACACAGCTTTCCTTCAATGATGGAGAAAGTGAGGAGACAACCATATATTACGTTTGTGGGTAGCCCAGGGTCTGGAAAATCAGCTACGGCTCGTCACATCGCCCTCAAACTCCAGGAGGAAGGGTATGAAGTTTTACCAATTAAAGACATCAGTAAAATAGAGGAGTATTGTGACTCACGACATCCTCAAGTCTTTGTCATTGATGATGTATTGGGTGTCTTTGGTCTTGACGAAAGAAAATTACCTTTGTTGAGAAATTATGAACAAACAATAACAAAACCTTGCATGGATAAATCTAAAATTCTTATGACGTGTAGACAGGCTGTGTACAATGAAGCGTTACCCTACAAATCATATTTAATCAAGGATGAAAGTGTGATTAAGTTGCACAGCTCTGAAAATGCATTAGATGACAATGATAAGAAACTGATTCTGGAGATGTATGGCTTGGATTCTGAATCATTGTCACCTTCATTGACATCAGCCTATCATATGTTTCCTCTTCTTTGCAAGCTGTTTTCAAAGGAAGCAAGATTCCAAAAACTTGGTTCGAGTTTTTTCACGAAACCAGTTGAATCTATTATCAATGAACTTAATGAGATGCAGGCAAATAACAAACTACATTATGCTGCATTAGTTTTATGCATGTTGAATGAAAAACTGTCTGAAAATATTCTCGAACATCAGAAAACCGATATTTTCAATGAAATGAAAAACTGTGTGTTAGAAAACCTAAACCTGTTGACTGCCACTGATACATTCAAGCTTGTAGATGCATTGTCGGCAATGGAGGGGACATACACAAAACAGAGTGGCACAGAGTTTACATTTATACATGACTCCATGTATGAAATATGTGCTTATCATTATGGTAAACAATTTCCTGACCAGGTGTTGCTATATTTGAAAAGTGATTATGTTGCCAATTATGTGAAACCTCAGAAATGTGAAAAAGAAAATGTGAAGAAAAGGGAAGAGAAAGAGAATATTTTTCACTCAAATGAGAACAATGAGACAAGTGATGGAAATAATGTTGAATGTATAAGTGAATCTTTTGATCTGTGTATAAGGTTAAGTGAGGATCGATACCGACTGTTAGCTGAGAGGTTGTACAGAGACATAGAGAAAATGGAGCTGTATGATGTGTTTATGAATGATGCTCTAAAACATCCCCAGGTCTGTCAGGCTTTTATTGATGTGTTGAAGGAAAAGAAATACGAAGATTTAAGATCTTTATTTCTGCACAGGCAGAAAAATGTACATAATGTAATGGGAAAAAATAGATTTGATTTGAAAGAAGTTAGTGGAAAAGATGAGAAGTTCATGTATATAGAGATAGATCTGTTCATACACAAAATGTTTCTGTATGATCTGTTGGCGGATGAGAGACTTGTGAATGGTCATTTAATATGCAATGTGAGAGTGATTAGCTGGGTGATTTATTACGGTCACCATAAGATCCTACAATTCATTACAGAACAAACTCAGCAACACAGAGAGACACAGTCTAAAGTATTTCACAACGGCATAATGCGAACTATAAAATCATCTTTTCAGCGTGGATCTTCATCTCTTTTCAAGCTTTTCAATGGAGAGGAAAGGTGGAGAGAGGAAGCACGTCTATTGCTTTTGGGTTGTCATAGTGGTGATCTAGAGACTGTGAAAACACTACTTCAGTATGTCAGTAGAGAAGAAACCATCACTACGCAACACCCCGATTTCATGAATACGCCACTGACAGCTGCGTGTAAAGCTGGATGTGCGAGTGTGGTGGAGGAACTCTTGAATTTCAAGTCTGATGTAAATCAACAGGATCAAGAGAAGAAAACACCACTGATAGTTGCTTGTGAAGGTGGACACGCAAGTATTGTGGAGAAGCTTTTGGAGGTAGGAGTTCTTGTCAATAAACCTTATGATACTGATACTCCACTAATGGCTGCATGCAAAGGAGGACATGCAAGTATCGTGGAGAAGCTTTTGGAGGCTGGTGCTTCTGTCAATACATCTTGTTTTAGTGATGCGCCACTCTTAGCTGCATGCAGAGAAGGACATGTGAGTATTGTAGAGAAGCTGGTGAAGGTGGGGGCTGATGTCAATATACGTGGTAGTGAAGGTGATACACCACTAATAGCTGCGTGTAAAAGGGGAGATGCGAGTATTGTGGAGAAGTTATTGAAAGGGAGAACTATAAATTTCAGGAATATTCAATCTAATTTTTTCCCAGATTTGAATATTTTATATTATTATGAAGCCCGCTGCACCAAACTAGATGATGGTCTTTTAATAACTTTGTTTGTTGCATTAATTCATAACAAACATGACGTAGTAAAATTATTGATTCGGAAAGAAAATAGCAGAAGTGAAAATAAAGGCAATCTTTATCTCTTTTATATTTTGCTTATGCTAAGGCATGCTGATGTTAGAATGGATTTACGCGATGATGTAGTAATTGGAGAGGGACGAGTGTGGACTCTGAATGAGCTTGGATACTTGTGGGAAATTATATATAAAGGAGACTGTGATGTACTGAGCCACCTATTACGTATTGGGATGCAGGTCAACCATTTACTGCTAGTAAATGGAGTCTGGACCTCTGGCGTCAGATCTCTGCTATGTTTATTAATTAATAAAGGATTTGTCTTGAACAGAGAAGAAAAGATACAGATCTTACTAGAAGCGGGGGCGGACGTCAATGTCTCTATGTTGGAAGAGGTTCAAAAACCTAGATATATATTACCTGTAAATAGGATGATGATAGATAAGATAAAGAAACATATCAGAAGACATTCTGTATAAAACTGGTAGATGTCTTGATTGTAAGAGAGTGATAAAGAAACATGTCAGAAGACAATCTGTATAAAACTGATAGATGTCTACATTGTAAGAGAGTGATAACGAAACATGTCAGAAGACAATCTGTTGTAAGAGAGTGATAAAGAAAAATGTCAAACTGATAGATTTCAAGATTGTAAGAGAGTGCCAAGAGGCCCATGGACCACATCGCTCACCAGCACACCGTCTAGGAAGAAGCAGAAGTTCAGTATTGAACGGGGGGGGGGGGGGGCAAACTTAAATTTACACTACCTCAGGATGCTTCCTTATCAATATTACTAATCATGTCTTTGCTGTTTTTAAACAGAAGAATTTTTTCCTTTGTATTCCTATATATATGTAAAACGATCGCTCATTGTGACTCCACCCTACCCACCCTTAATTTGAACAAATTTGAATCTACATTACCTGAGGATGCTTCTATAATAATATGACTTATCATGGCTTTGCTGTTCTTGAGCAGAAGATATTTTAAAGATGATTCCTATATATTCTTATGCAAAACTTTGACCCTCTGTTGTGCTCCCCCATCCCCTGTGGGGTCATAATTTGAACAAACTTTATTGTACAATACCTAAGGTTGCTTCTGTATAAATATGAGTAATAAAGGCTTTGTTGTTCTTGAGAAGAAGATTTCAAAGGTATTTCCTATGTAACGTGTATGATCAGGTTCTTACAAGGGATATATAGGTTTTCCTTTTACTCTGTCTGAATTAATGATTGGAATGATTATTAAGACAGCTCTGTCTGAGAGTATATCACGCATAATTATCTGATATTAATTTAAAGCACTTTACAGTACAAAAGGGTTTACCAAGAGAAAGTTTCAAAATTGTAATTAACTAAGCAGTAATTAATTAATAACGATTCCATTGAAGTCTATGGGGACAAGCGATTTTTTTAAAAATAAAAATTCAAATAATAAGAATATGAATAAATACTGTGGATTAAATTGATTGAACTAAATTTTTTAAAACACTAGAAATAGACTGACCATTGAAAACGATTTTTTTTACCGGATAAGTTTTTTTTTAAATTGATTTTTTTATTAATTAAAAACAGAGGGAAATAACTCTTACCAAAATTCAAGATCATAAATTAGGATAGATCCAACTCTTACATGCTAATAGTAATAAATGGGAATTATGTCTAAATATACTGAGTATTCAACACCTACACATCTGTTTATGTATTCAATTTCATTGAATCTGTTGCTATAAGGGATGGAATACCTTAACTTTTTTTGCTGATTCAGCATCCAGCTTCTTCAGCTAGCTTCTGAATGTCTGACTTTCCCAAAGCTTTGCCTTACATACCCTTTGGTTTGGCTGGTCCATTCCCAGGGTTGTGGGGTCATTCCATTAGTTGTAGTCTTCAATAAAGAAACATGTCAGAAGACATTCTGTATAAAACTGATAGATGTCTACATTGTAAGAGAGTGATAAAGAAACATGTCAGAAGACTGATGGATGTTTTGTTTGTAAGAGAGTGAATGTCAGAAGATAAATGTCTAAAATGTAAGTCGAGTTATGTATGAGATTGAAAAAAAAAACATGTCAGAAGACAAAAGAATTCCATATTGTAGGGTTATCTGACCATCAATACAAGTTGTATCAATGGATTTCATTTTTTAATTCTTTACTTTTATATATTCGCTATACAACAAGACATTATTTCTTCTTGTGATTTTTTAATTACAAATAAAATGTCACATACTATTCCAAAATTATATTTGTTATTTTATTGAAAGAGTCTGATTGTATAAAATAGTTTATTTTTTATATCTGTTAATTGTGTTGATATAATTAAGAAATTGAGAATACATTTAGTCATGGTGTAATACATAATAATGCACATCCAACCTAGTGAGCTCTTCACAACTATCACGGGGCATCTGAGAATGTTCTATCCCAACCCTTTTGCTCAGTGTTCGAAATAAATTTCATAATCTTCAAACAGAAGTTATCTATTTAAAAGATTTTAAGAAAAAAAAAATCTCTTGTGATTTTTTCAATTCTGGAACCTCACGCTTAGTATGTGTCGATAATAGTACAAGGTCATCATCAATAATTTATTACTCAAGTTTGAGTTGTGTTCCAATTATAAGTTCAAATTTATGATCTAGTCAAAATCTCGTTGCTTAATGACCTTGACCCATGCCTGTGAGTCATATGAATGTGCCAGAGATATCCTGGAAACCATTTCACTATATCTCATTGCCCATTGACCTTAACAGCAAATGGTCATGATTATATATTCAAGCATATGCACGGACAACAAAGTGATATGACCTCAAAATCTATAGGGGTGTAATGGTACATATTGTCGTTCTGTACATATTGTCATCGGCGACAATATGTACCTACCCTCACTGCACATACTGTTGTCCATCTGTACATACTGTTGTCGGCTGAAAAAATTAAACATGTACATATTGTCGCCGACAACATTATGTGCCTACCCTCACTGCACATATTGTCGCCTCACAGTTAGAGTTGCTTAGGGGTTATTTTTGTAATTTTATGAATGAAATTGGTATGAATATCACACAGACGTATCTCTTGGGCTGTTTCGTGCTGCATGATTGTGACAGTACATATTGTCGTCTTAAACATATTGTTGCCGGCGACATTGTGTTCCTCGCATAATTGCACATATTGTCGTCCGTCGGTATATACTGTTGCAGGATGTACATATTGTCGCCGGCAACAAGATTTGCGTACCCTTACTGCACATATTGAGATAATGATGATGATAATAATGATGAAGATGATGATCATAATGATGAGGAATGTTAAGGAAGCTAGATTGCGCAAATTGTACATACATGTACTGATATCTTTAATATGAAATATTTATCGAAATTGCTTCCTTATCTTGCTTTAACTCTAAAATAAAATAAAATACACGGATACCCAGTGCATTAAAAGTTTAAACCAATTCTATATAACTTCTATACAAGCAGGGGCGATGAAGATCATGATCTAAACAATTTACTACCTAGGTTACTTCCGTTTGTTTCCCAAATTTCATCTTCTCTGGTCCAGTTGTTCTTAAAAGGAAGACTTTGGAAGTTTTCCTTATGTATTTCAATGTAAAAATTTGATTCCCTATTGTGTCCCTTCCTACACCCCCCCCCCCCCCCCCCCCGGGAACCATGATCTGAACAATTTACAATCATCTACACTTCCTTAGGAAGCTTCCAAGTAAGCTTTTCTGGCACAGTGGTCTTTGAGAAGAATTTTTAAAAGATTTAAAAGATTTTTCCAATATTTTTTCGGTGTTGAACTTTCATCCCCTTTTGTGGCCCCACCCTAACCCCTGGTGTCATGATCTGAACAATTTACAATCTACGCCACTCAGGAAGCTTTCATCTAAATTTCATCTCTTCTGGTCTGGCAGTTCTTCAGAAGAAGATTTTAAATCACTTTCCCTCTATATTTCAACATAAAACTTTTATTCTATATGGTGCCCCACCCTACCCCGGGGACCATGATTTGAACAATTTAGAATAAACACTACTTCAAGATGCTTTCACTTAATTTTCATCTTATTTGGTCCAGTGGTTCTTAGAAAAAAACATTTTGTCTATATACATGTTATTTCAATAACAAAATTTTATTCCATATTCTGGCATTTACCCCCAGGGGCCATGATTTGAACAATTCAAAATCTACATTACCTAAGGTAGCTTCCAATTTAATTTCAGTTTTTCTAGCCCAATGGTTCTAGAGAAGAAGATTTTTTTAATGTCTTTTCAATGACTCTACCCTATATTCCCCTTTTCTTGATTTTCTTTTTGTTTAAAATTTGCCTGTTGAGAAGAAGTTGAAAAAGTTTACAGTGATCAGAATCAAAAGCTCACTTGAGCTTTCAGCTCAGATGAGCTAAAATGTGGACCTCCAACCACAATTGTATCGTTTCATGTATAAGAAAACACAAAAATATTATCTAATTAGTTATTAATACTGAGGACAAAAAATAACATCGAAATATATATAATAAGAAAAAAAATTCCTGATTTATAAGTTAAATCAAGAATTCTCTATTTTTGTATATCATAGTCGTGAAAAATCGATCCCGGACACAATTTTCTGACCAAAAAGTTGTTTTCCCTAGAGTATTGCGAGTAATGCCATCTCTCCCTCAGTGCGTGTGTCAATCTCTCTCTCTCTCTATTAACGACCCTAGTAAATATTCGTCAAAACAATATATCGACGACACTTTGTGCCGATGCTTGACTGTACATATTGTTGCCGACGACAATTTGTGCCGATGCTTGACTGTACATTTTGCCGTCCATTATCAGATTATGCAGGAGAACAATAAGGCTCGTCTCGCGCATCATGAAATATGCCAGCAGAGCAATTGCTAAATGTATTCATAATGCCATGTTCACTGAGTAACGTTGTTTATTTCTTAAATATTTGAATACTTTCTGTTTTCTCCCACTCATACGTACCAATGAACGATAATATGTGCAGTAAGGGTAGGTACATATTGTTGCCGACGACAATATGTACAAAACGACAATATGTACCGTTACAGAGTGTCTTCCTCTTATAGTAAAGTACTTTTTATACCCGCACTTTCTAAAGAAAGTTCGGGTATATTGTTGTTACTCATGTCTGTCCGTCCGTCCGTCCGTCCGTCTGTCACACTCTTATTTCTCAAACTCCTCTAACATTTTACACAGTAGCCTAATCATCTTTTTATACCCGCACTTTCTAAAGAAAGTTCGGGTATATTGTTGTTACTCATGTCTGTCCGTCCGTCCGTCCGTCCGTCTGTCACACTCTTATTTCTCAAACTCCTCTAACATTTTACACAGTAGCCTAATCATCTTTTGGGAGATGTTTGGTGGTGTCATGTAGATGTGCAGTAAAGTTTCGGAATTTTCATTTTCACCCTAGGGGTCAAATGGGGGTCAAAAAATGACGTTTTTTATGCAAAAAGCCCCTGGTTCCCTGAACTCCTCTTACATTTTACACAGTAGCCTAATCATCTTTTGGGAGATGGTTAGTGGTGTCCTGTAGATGTGCAGTAAGGTTTCGGAATTTTCATTTTCACCCTGGGGGTCAAATGGGGGTCGAAAAATGACGTTTTTTATGCAAAAAGCCCCTGGTTCCCTGAACTCCTCTTACATTTTACACAGTAGCCTAATCATCTTTTGGGAGATGGTTAGTGGTGTCCTGTAG